AACTACAGAATTTGGCCTAAAGATAGTGGTTATACTACTGAATTTTGTTCAGACTAAGGATTAATTTTGAATTTGACTAAATAATTTAGAAACATATGGAAGAAAAGATCAACTTGAAAAGGAGCTCAAATCTAAAATTTCTGCCCCAGAGCTCCATCCAATCTTTGCTTCTAGACATGTATTAATTAGAACTATAATTAACCACGTAGGTTAATTTGTATTGCATTAATTGAGGACATGTCCATTGTCAACTGTGACTCACAGTTGTGACTTTTAAGTTTGTCAGCATGGTATGTATGTAATTTGCAGTTACAGTAAGTAGGCAGCCACTTACCTTTAGATCAAATTGCATAATTTAAGTAATTAAAAGTTAGCCTTAAAGTATAACCTGAAAATAATCTGCAGTTTAGATATATGTATAGTTATATAAAATAAATGGGAAACTGAGAAGTGTCTGTTAAATTAGGCTTTGGTTATATTACTTATATATTTATATATTAATTTAATTGTAATTATATTTTATTTGAGAAATTAGTATTTTATTATATATTCTGAAATTGCTAATTTAATATATATATATATTAAAAAATTATTAATTTTGGAACAAAGTTCATAATGTTGTGTGTGATTAAAAGTGTTATTATTGTAATACAGTATCTCGATAAATTTTAGATATGATAAAATTTTATTAAGAAATTTATCCGAGATATTTTTATTATAAAAGTATACGAAAATTGTTTATTGCTAGCTTATAAGATATAAAAATTTTAACATTAAAATATTAATAAAATATTATAAAAATTAATTATTAATATTTTAATTAGGCTCAAGCACAAGAATGTATTTTAGAAAAGTCTATGTTAGACAGCCGTAAATCTCCTATTATTGCAAAAGTTGCGGCTCAAGTGGTAGAATATTATCAAACAGCTCTTGCAACATTATTAAGTGGAAGTAGCAGTGTTGAAAGTGGATGCATTCTACATATTGTAGGATCAAAAATATTTAAAGTAAGTTTTATCTGATGGTGATTTGTTTAAAAAACTGCTTTTTGTTTATTCATTAAAGTAATTTAATTTATTGCTTTAGTCTTGGAAAAAATTTGTAGAATTCAAAATTTCTTATTATGGAAGTATTTCACATCTTTATATGGGAAATCAAGCAGAAGAACAACAAAAAATGGGAGATAGAGTTGCTTGGTACCAGTCTGCTTTTGATAAACTTGAAGAAGCTATAAAAATTTCAAAGGTGCAGTTGAATAAACTTTATTCAAAACTAATTCAATACAGATTTCAAATTTAATCTTATAATTAATCATTTATTTGTTTTATACTATTATATAATAGTAGTCTTGATTTCTTTAAGTTAAACTATTTCTTTTTTTTTTAATTCAGTATTATAAGTTGAGACCATGCTCCTGAAAATACAAATTTCAAATATATAATAAATCACACAAACATTGCTAAAAAAGAAAAAACATTTTATGTATTTAAAATGTTTATTTAATCATAAATAAAAGAGAGGAAGTTGTAAAGCAGAGATCTACTGTATATAAATTTCATATAGTTAGTCCTATTCACACTTACAATATATTACTAATATGAATTCTTTTAAAATAAATTTCAAATTTTTTAAAAGTGTCAATTATTTTTGACAACAATGTCTGTCTTGCTGTATTCCAAATTATGTTCATATCGTATTCCTTTTTAACAAATCTCCTTTTCTTTCAATGATATATATTGTATTCACTAAATGCAATTTGAAAATTTATGATTTATTTTTTTATTCATTTAAATTTGGATGTCATTATAGAAAATTTATATTCAGTAATGTTACATATCACTAAAATTAATGCTAAAAACTTGTTATAAACAATAATCAGAAAACGAAAAAATCATTAAAAAAAACTATTAATTAAACACATGGTTCAGTTTATTACTAAAATCCAAAACTAAATATATTTCAAATTTATTTCCAGAACAATTCTCTAAACAATGTATATCATGTAATCATCAATTTTATTTTGTATTACTGTCTTACAGTTGGCCGTAAAAATATTTCAATCTCTCTATTTCAATATGGTCATTATTATCTGTTGCCTATACAAATAAACAAATCCTGGTTGTCTACTGATAAGAAGAGTGAAATTGGTTATGACCAACTGTAAGATGTAATATCACAAAATAAAATAATGATTGCAAGATGTATGTTATTTGTATTGTTCCAGAAATAAATGTGAAGATGGATAACACAGTTTCAGTTATTCAAATAATTTAAATGTATTTTATTCAAAAAGCAATGTTTACTTGGCAAAGTTTTTCTGATTAATATTATGAAATGCATACAAAGTAAAAATATATTTAGCTTTCATTTATTTTTTATTCTACATTTTGAATCTGTTTTCAAATATGGAATGGATGCACATTAATTAGCTTGGTCATCTAGATGATTAAAACATAGATAGTAAAATTTAAGTTTGTTTAGTGAAATAATAATCATCTAGTTATACATATGAACATTGTTAGATCATACATTTCAATGGTGCAAATCTCTTGATTATTTTGCTGAATGCAGAATATTTTTAATCTGTTAGCTAGCCATGTAATAGAATTTTGAATTTTCAGTGAAGATATTTTATTAATAAATTAATTTCAAATAGAAATATTTTAAAAGAATTTGATACTAAATATATTTGAAAAGAAAAAAATTCAAACTTGGCGTCAAATTATACCTTATACAAATCAAATATTTAAGATATTTTATTTGTGTAGTGTAGTATAGGTTTATTCGATAAGTGTAAAATTTACTTGATAAACAATATAATTATTATATCGTAAATTTTTTAAAACTAAATTGTATATAAAGTTAATCATTTTTATTTATATAAAGAAAATAAATTAAAATTTTTTTCAGACCATGGAGAGAGATGATTTAAATGAGGCCTTATCATTCACTATGGATGTAATTGGCAACAAGTATGTTAGCAATTTTTAATTAAAACTTATTATTTTAATTGATCTTTTGTTTATTGTAATTAAACTTTTTATCTTTTTGTAGACAAAACATTGCCAAAAAAGAGAATGATTTTGTATACCATGAAAAAGTTCCTGCAATAGAATCTCTTCCAGAAGTTAAAGGAGCATCATTAGTTAAAGGAATTCCATTTAGTCCAACAGATCCTGATGTTTCTGGTCCAGATATTTTTGCACGATTAGTTCCAATTGAAGCTCATGAAGCATCATCAATGTACAGGTAAAAGTTAAAGCAGATTTATAGGATATTTGACAAATTTGAATAATTTTCTAATAATTAGAATTCTCACTTTGAATTAAAAATATATAAATTCTTCATAACTTCTTTCCTCCATAAAGGATTTTTTGTCTACACAAAACTCCATTTGTATATCATTTGTGTGTGTAATTTTTAGAAATTTACTGTTTTCTTGATTCTAGTGTGCCATTAAATTTAATGCACATTCAATTTTTGAAAGATCAAAATGCAAAAAACAAAGTTTAGTTTGTGAATATAATGCATGCCCTATATAAAAATTGTAGCTTCAAAAAAGTTAATGTATTTAAACAGTAATAAGAGCATTTTTTAATAAGGTTTTATTTTAATGTTTTTAGTACTTCGTGATGTCCTCATTCTGAAATGTATTCACTTATGACCCCATCATTAGGTACAGAGGATCTGAAAACCAATGCAAAATTGCAGTCAAAATTACCACAATCAATGGTTAACAGCAAGATTTCTTTTCAGTATACACAAGCATAAAATTTACCAAATACATAGTATCATACTAAACTATCTGTATACATGTTGTTCAGGATAACTCTCTGCTTAAACATAGCTTTGTAGAAGATTTATCTGTAAACCAAAATTAAAACTGAAGTAGTGGAATACAACATTGATATAGACATGGCACAGTACATGTCCCATGTACTGTGCCATGTCTATATCAATGTTGTAATATATTTGAATTGCCAAGCAGAGTGAATAGGAAATGACACTGTGTTAAGCCAACATTGTGCTTGATTCTAATATTCATTCCAGTTTTTGAGAACAAAAAAGTCCAGAAAAGGTATGCATTAGAATTGGAAAATGTAGTATCTGTATCTATTTGGTTTTAGGATTAAGCCAAACAAGAGTAAGCTTAGTCAGTCTCCTTGAAAAATTCCTTGCTTTACAGTGATTGTTTTAACCCTTGCCTGACTGACTTCCAGTTAATGTGTATTTTGTAAGTTGACTGATGTCAGTCAAGGACACTCAGGCAATGTCATTTTAAAAATGTTAGCCAGAAGTTTGTGGCATACCAGTCAGGAACCATTGGTGTAGGATTATTGATTATTTTTTTTAGATTTTGTATGTATTATGTATTTTTAGATTTTTGGTATGTCCTAGGGATTGTTGACTGTATGTAAAGGATTTGACTAGCATTAGTGACAACTTTTTATACCAAAAGTTCTAAATACTTTTTTACATCAGTAAGTGTATTCAATTGTATTTAGATAGATGTTTCTCTTTACACAGGGATAGTATGTTTTGTTTTGTTTGGTTTGTTCTTTCTCCAACCCATGTTCGGTCATTATGATTAACAGTAATTAACTAAAGGGAAGACTAATATTTTTTAAATTCTTTTGTTTATAAACTATTATTCTGTGATTGATTTTTAGAATGTATTTCTCTGTGTAACAGTTTTTCATTGCTTGTGAATAATTATCATTAAAGATAACTTTCAAATTTAAATAAGTAAATCAAATGAGATTTAAGAATTTATATATATATATAAATCTATAAGACTATATGTAGTCTTGTCTACATATATATATATGAGCTAGTTTAGGAATTCAAGTTATTAACTAGTTTCATAAACTCAATTATTTAAACTATTTCATATAATTTTTTTAAACTAATCAATTGCTGTTGATTTTTTGCAATTTTGTCTAACTTAAAATACATAAACTTACAAAAATATAATTTTATAATGTTATTAATAATTACAGTGAGGAAAAGGCAAAGATATTAAGAACCATTTCTGCAAAAGTAGAAGACAAAGATCAGGAGTTAATGTGAGTATTTTCCTTTTTATTTATAATTGCTTATGTTAGATAATAATTAACAAGCTCTGTATTAAAAATAAAAATAAATGTTTCTTATGAATCATTTTTAGGACCTATTTGTCATCTCTCCAATTAGATTCAAATTTACTTAGTCCTCAGACAGACCAAATTCCTCAGGAACTTTTAGAAAAATGTGCAGCTATGAGTGTTCGTCAGAGTGCAATTGATGATTTATCATCGTTATTGAAATGTATTTATGATATTTTTTCTTATAAAATTCATTCTACATTTTATGTTTAATATTTTTTAAAGTTCTGTATCATTTATATTTCATGTAGCATTAATGGAAGTAAGTCAAGAAGTAGAAGACTCATTAAAACAAACTTATGATATACTTAAACAAGATGAGCAAAAAGAACAATTACATCAAGTAAATATTAGTGTTATAAATTTTTTTTATTTTAAAATGCATTTATTGTAATGTAATAAATTTATAGGAATCATTTGGTAAGAGAGCTCCTTCTATGATAATTGTGGAATTAACTAAGGAATGTTCTAGATACCAAGAAGCTCATAAAAGGGCAGAAGAATCTAATACAACTTTGCAAAAAGTTTTTAACCTTCATATCAACAATTTAAAACTTCTTACTGGACCAATGGAAGAATTAAAAGCATCTCTACCATCTGTATCTTCAATGGAAAGTAAGTTATTTATGTAAATGTTAAATTTTCTTTTTTATTGTTTATGATTTAATGATATAAAACATTATAATTCTATATTAAACTTAAATTTTTTTTAGTATCAAATGATGATGGAGTAGTTAAGGAATTGAAAAGACTTCTTGTTAAAGTAGAGGAGATGCGACGTCAAAGGCAAATGCTAGAAACACAGTTACGAAATGCTTTGCAAAGTGATGATATCACCACTCAATTAGTGATGAAAGATCGAAAAAATGATTTACAGGTAGCAATTAGTTTTTATTCAATAGCATTGTTATAAATTATGCATGCAGATGTTTGCATGTATAAAATTATATAATAGGATATTTTATATATTACTGCATATAGTAATCATTTCAAGATCATTTCAGTTGTCAACTTTGAAATGATCTTGACTGTGTATGTATATATGTATGTATGTATATATACAGGTATACCTCGACTTACGTCATGTNTTCATGGTAAATGTCGGCATTTGCCAGTGTAAGTGAGAAATAATGATGTTTAGCAAATATTTCATACATACACGAAATGACTGTGTGAATTCTGACATTCGCCAGATATCGGTCATTCACAGTAACATATACACAATAAAATATTTCATTTTTTGAGATTTCAGATTTTCCTGGTAATATACACAACATCCTTTTTTGATTGCGCTATTTCATTTTTCAGTAAGAAATTTGCTTCTCAAACATTTCATATAATTGAGTGAATCAATGAGTTAATCACTGAGATCAATGTAACTTTATTATGTAGATGAATCAATATTATTTTAAATATTGTTTACAGTAACAAAAGTTTAGTGAAAGAAATGACATATAATCTAGAGATTTATTATTTTCATAGGTTTCTTTGATGATTAAAAAGAAAAGTTAAAAACACTTTTTAACACTTTTTTCTATTTACAATTTTGAATAACTTCTAGCTAATCTGATGATGATAAATATTGACTCTTCTGAGTTAAAAATAAAGATAAGTTATTAACTAATATATTTCACAAATTAATTTCAAGTTGATTTTGAGAATTTATTCATTGTTTAATGGAAGTAAGTAAAAAATTTTAAATGTAAAGTTGAAGATATATTTTTTCATTAATATATGAAATAAATAGGACACTAAGAAATAACCCTTATAAATTAAACTGTTTAATTATTTTTTAGCTAGATTTTAAGCTAATTTTTAATTAATTAAACTACAGAATTTGGCCTAAAGATAGTGGTTATACTACTGAATTTTGTTCAGACTAAGGATTAATTTTGAATTTGACTAAATAATTTAGAAACATATGGAAGAAAAGATCAACTTGAAAAGGAGCTCAAATCTAAAATTTCTGCCCCAGAGCTCCATCCAATCTTTGCTTCTAGACATGTATTAATTAGAACTATAATTAACCACGTAGGTTAATTTGTATTGCATTAATTGAGGACATGTCCATTGTCACCTGTGACTCACAGTTGTGACTTTTAAGTTTGTCAGCATGGTATGTATGTAATTTGCAGTTACAGTAAGTAGGCAGCCACTTACCTTTAGATCAAATTGCATAATTTAAGTAATTAAAAGTTAGCCTTAAAATATAACCTGAAAATAATCTGCAGTTTAGATATATGTATAGTTATATAAAATAAATGGGAAACTGAGAAGTGTCTGTTAAATTAGGCTTTGGTTATATTACTTATATATTTATATATTAATTTAATTGTAATTATATTTTATTTGAGAAATTAGTATTTTNTCAAAATATCTGATTCCAACAGGTACCTAATTAAAAAGTAAAATAATTTAATAAAAAAAACAATCCACGAAAACCTTTTTTTACGCGTGTTTTGTCCGTAGTAAATTCCACAAGTACTTTTGACCTCCACCGAGGTCTGCTTCAGGTGGTGACTGGCCGTGTTTCGTCCCGACCGTCGTAACGATGTTGCCAACGATGTAAATAAATAAATGTGCGCGTCGGGTTTCACCCCTCTAACTGACGCTGTTCGAATTCCTCGAACAAATACTTTCACGCCTGTGCGAGCGTTTCCCCTTCCTTGAAGTTGATGCAGTTGCCCCCCTGATAGCTTTATGAATCTCCCAGTCCTCTCAGGTGACGGATGTGATCTGCATGGAACGCTTGTCTGATAAGTCTGGTGTTCCGGAAGTTTGCCCTTATTTCAGGGTCGGTGACATAGGTCGATAAGGCGGTGGTGTGTCTTTTATGTTTAATATCAGCTTGATGTTCATGAATTCATTTCTGTGTTGACCGGATGGTGGAGCCAATATAAACTAAGTCCCTATTGAATCTGTCGTTCCTGATGGGAATGGAGTAAACACCTGGGGCCCTGGTGAGATCCATCGCGTTCTTGGCGTTGCACAGCAGGTCGTAAAGCATGCCGGTTCTTAAGTACGCAATTTTGGTGCGACTGTTGCTAGCGATCTCCCTATAAAGGGGGTCTAAATGCTGGTTGAACCGGACGACCGTGCCTCTAACGTTCCTATCTGGTTGTCGGTTGTCGTCCGGCAATGGTAGGGGGCAGTCACTGCAGCGAGGGGGACGGCGAGTGCATGCACATGCTAAACCGCGGACCATGGCTTTACTGTAACCATGTTCAACGGCAATCTTTTCTATGCGACGGATCTCCAACCATGCATTGCGCACATGTGTGTGGTGAGTGAAGGCCCATCTGGTAAGCCCTTCGATGTGGGTTCCTGTCCATGGTGAGGGGACCTCCCAGAGATGGTTTAGTAAGTCTTCTTTACCATCCTGGGATCTGAACGCCCACCCATGTGTTTGCCATGCGTGGTGTCCCGTATGCCGGAAAGGGGGATCCTGGTAGTTGAGGGGCAACAGAACGTCCCCAACACATTGCTTTGGCCCCTGCTTCGGATAAACGGGAGGCTCAAATCAGGCTCCGTTTGAGTCAATAATCGGCTGGTCGTTGAGTCAGTTTTGACCTTGGCTTGGAGTCAACTGATCGATGCAGACCAGGCGGACACACCAGACAAGATGTGCTCTTCTTGACTGTATTGTGAGGGTATAGCTCCTGGGAAACCCTGGTGTGACGGTCTATGGGAGTTTCCCATGTGACGGCATCCCCTTGTTGGGCCCCATGGTGGGTGGGGTCACTAGGAGCTGAATGATTATCTCTAAATATGGATTCTTTAAAATCTAAAACATCTACCAAGGCACTGCCACCAAAGGAGGTCAATTCCTCCAATCTACCAACCTACCTTATTGTCCACGCTACAGGAGAAACACCTATGTCTAAACGCTCTCCTTTCTTAATCCAGAAACTTTTTGAGTCGACCATTGGGCACCTTAAAAAAATCCAAAAATTGAGGTCAGGAGATCTACTTGTGGAAGCAGCCTCCCCTCAACAGTCAGAAAAACTCTTGAAAATGAAGTCACCATCACACCACATACAAGTTTGAACTCTTCACGTGGTGTGATATCTGAAATTGATATAATGTCTGAGGAGGAATCAGATATCCAGATTGGTCTTTCAGATCAAGGTGTTACTGCTGTTCAACATATTTCTATTCATCAAGATGGCAAGTTAATTCCTACTAAACACTTAATTTTAACCTTTAACAAACCAACTTTGCCATCTGCTATCACAGCAGGTTATCTGCGCTGCCCACTTCGTCCGTATGTTCCAAATCCGCTGCGTTGCTTCAAATGCCAGCAATTTGGACATTCACAAACATCCTGCCGTGGGAAAAGCACATGCGCACAGTGTGGAACTGAAGGTCACGAGAGTACCGAGTGCACCAATTCTCCATGCTGTGTGAATTGTAAAGATGCCCATCCTAACTGCCGTTCGACGCATCTCCATTCGTCGAGATGGCAAGTTAATTCCTACTAAACACTTAATTTTAACCTTTAACAAACCAACTTTGCCATCTGCTATCACAGCAGGTTATCTGCGCTGCCCACTTCGTCCGTATGTTCCAAATCCGCTGCGTTGCTTCAAATGCCAGCGATTTGGCCATTCACAAACATCCTGCCGTGGGAAAAGCACATGCGCACAGTGTGGAACTGAAGGTCACGAGAGTACCGAGTGTACCAATTCTCCATGCTGTGTGAATTGTAAAGATGCCTATCCTGCCTACTCAAGGAAATGCCCTGCATGGCAGAGAGAAAAGGAGATTCAACGGGTAAAAACCACAAATAATATACCATACCCAGAAGCCTGCCGCATGGTCACTCAAACTACAACATTAAAACAAAAAACATTTGCTTCTGTTTTGACATCCACAAAAACATGTGGAGTTCAAACGGATATTTCTGTATCACCAAGTGAATCTCTTACTCGCCATTCAAGATGTTTATTGATTCCACCTACACAAGCAGAAGAAACACAAAGGCCAAAACCCCTGTAACTAAAACAGGGGTAACAACCAGAAATGTGGGTTCTAAAAAAGCTAATAAGAACCCACTGAACAAACAAAAATTGAAAGCAGCCCTCTCTAAATCAAAGAGATCAGAGACTCAATCCATGAGTGAGTTCTCTGATATTTCTGATGAAGAGAATAATACGGAGGGGACCCAACCACCCTCACCTTCAAAAGGAAAATCTTCAGTAAAATTGAAGAGGGACACGTTTTCTAAAAATGCTGCCTCAAACACATAATGGATTATAAAATAATCCAATGGAACTGTCGTGGTTTCCGCAACAACTTCTCTGACATTAAACACTTGACATCATATACCTCATCTCTCTGTGTGGCACTCCAGGAAACACATCTAAAACCTGGAGATAGAACTACTTTAAAAGGATTTGATCTCTATCGCAAGGATGATGATAGCCACAACCGTGCCAGTGGAGGTGTGGCTATTGTAGTTTCAAATCACATCCCATCCTTGCCGATACAAATAACAACTGATTTGCAAGCTGTGGCAGTCAGAATTTCAATTGGGGTAACTGTCACAGTTTGTTCTATATACCTGCCACCAGATGTCAGAGTCAACGAAGATGAATTGGATGCTTTGGTTGAACAGTTGCCTACTCCGTTTGTTTTACTAGGTGATTTCAATGGCCATAATCCTATGTGGGGCAGTCCCGACATTAACCGTCGAGGCAGGACCATTGAAAGATTTATAGGCAACCAGCAACTGTATCTATTTAATACTGGAGAAGTGATATACTTCCATGCCCCAACAAGAACATTCACTGCCGTTGATCTATCACTAGCAACCCCGAACCTATTTTCAGCGTTTACATGGGAGGTTGGATCTAATCCACTTTCCAGTGACCACTT